ACTCATCCAGATTTTTAACCACTTAAAATCATTAGGACTGAGAGTTTTCTACTAAATCCGTATCAAATTCATCCTTCCCTCTGACACCTATTCCTGTTTATTCTTGATCTTTACATAATTAGCGATGCACAGAATATTCTCTACATCCATGGGAATACTTAAAACCAGCAAATTCCCTGATTTCTCAGCCACAAGAAAGTCCATAAAAATGCTGATCAGAGACCTAACTGAGGATCCCAGCTCCCCGTTCACTGGAAGCAGCAACCTCTGCAATTTCAGGAGGTGCTTCGAGTAGCCAGGCAATGAGAAAATAGCCAGCATCAAATGCAACAGGCAAGCTACTTGCAGATAGATCGGATGTAATGCTAGATATAAAAATATTACAYGCTCCTGCTGAGCATTTGAAGCCTGACAAGTTACATCCATTTGATACTGTGTGAACACCAAAACTAATTTTGAGAGAGGGTTCGATCTTGCTGGAGGGCTAGAAATCGCTTTCCAGCATCCCACTTTTATGCAGGATATTGAGCAGATGGGTTCCTCATCTATCTGAGGACAAGAGGAAATGATGCCTCCCACATAGACAGTCACCATTATAATAACAAGCTATGAGCAGARGGTTTTTGCAAGAGAAAATCTGCAAACCTTTGTCCAAACCTCACAGCACTCTTCAGTTCTTCAGCACTAGAGCCCACAATCTCAGCTACACTTTGGTTAGAAGCAGCCTACTTCAGCTTTTAATATACCTTAGTTCTGGTTTAGGTTTGGGGATGGATGCATAGTTCACTGTCTCTTGACCATCACTTGAGGTTTCGTTGCCCACCACTGGGCAGGCAACAGCCTCACTGCTCCTGGCACCAGTGGCATTTGTGTAGGCCATTGACGCATGTGGTTTGCCTAGAGGAGAGGATTTGTCACCTTAACCCAAGAGCTGGGCACTTTGCATCCCACATACCTATATCACAGGGATATATTATGTCCAGAGTTAGCTGCAAAAGTAAGATATATAACAAGCCCACAAGGATATAACAGTTATGGCATGAGAGCTTCTCCCTACTTTTACCTAAAGAGAGGTCTTAACACAGCAGAAGAACAAGATCTTCTTATCTACCACCTTCCTAAAAGACCATCCAACCTTTTGCACTTCTACCCGACAGGTTTTACAGTCATGCTGTCAAGTACAACCCTTCTYTCTCCATGCAAAACCCCAAGATTCGTTTTAGGCTCTCCAATAGCACAGCAGAGAATTCTCTCTCAGTAACAACATATAAAATTGTCTTCCTTTTATCCTCAGCCATGTCGATCCTTTCTGTACCGGTAGTACCAGCTATCATCTGTAGATACAGTTCTGTCGTGCCCAGTGGAGTATATAATTCTGTGGACGACATCCCTTACACGAGTCATATGCGCCAGATCATATATTATGCTATGTAGTTAGAGCTACTTAAGTGAGACATTGATAATGTGAATAATCAATTTACCTGGACAACGTGAGATTCTGCCCCCCACAATCTAGCGCCATTAAGTCGGATGGGTTCTTTTACTTTCATGACATTATTGCAATTCCTCAAACCACTTCTGTTCAGATATTTTTCCCACCTTAATTACCTTGTCATCTACAATTAAGGATGTTAACGTGGCCATTACATGTCAGAAATAGCTTTCCATTTTTGCTTTCTGCATGGTTCACATACTTGCAAGTCAGTGTCCACATATTTATGCTCTGATGTTTCTTAAACTATGTTGAATACTGAGCTTATTACAACAATAAATTGATGAGCTTGCTATAATAATCGACATATAAATAATTAATTTAAGGGTATGATCAAGATCTCTCAAAAAACAGCCAGCTCTGTGCTAAGGGTGCTGAGCTGCAGTGACATTTGCTGGTCATGCACGGTAACATTTGTAAAAGCTTCATTTAGATAGGGTGACAGGGTAATTGGGACAGAACCCAAACGTGGTACAGCATCTTTAATAAGCAGTGTGTGCTAGTGCTGAAAAGGAGAGGAAAAAAAAGCACTAAAAGCTGTTTTTCCTCTCCTTCCAGTCCTCTACTGTCCAACCAACACTCGGAATAGTTACCAAGATGCTTTTACAGATGTGTAAATGCAGGTTGGAGGTGCAGCTTGCTTCGTCTTCAGGAGACTGGTTCAAGAACAAATTCACCTACTGGAAGATACAAACCATATTTRATGGTTCACATACAAATCACATCCATGGGAAGCATCATCTGCATGCTGTGTTCTGGTCCTTGCTTTTCAAACGGAAGACATTTATTATTGCCTCCATGCCCACAAAGCAAAACCTGAAAGAGAAGTTGATAAAAAATGGAGGGTTTCGGTGGCAACAACATCAATATTTATCTGTGGAGATTACAGCTTCAGCAAGGACTCTAAGATTGAAAGTGCCCTTAAATCTGTCTTTCAGCTCACTGGCGATGTGTTATAACGGGTTTGGTGCATCGTTGTCTCTGGGCTAGGCTCTCTCCTCCCTTTGATGCCACACTCACATCAGGGAACCCAAGGCAGGTATGCTGAAAGACGCTAATTGGGAAATAAAGTTCACTTTTCAGATGCATTAAACTTCAAAGAATTTTATTTTGCCAAAAAAGCACGTTACTCACTCGATTTATTTTCCACATCCACAATTTGGCTGCATTTTTCAGCCACAAGCATAATCCTAAACAGAGCTGCCAGCAGAGATTTTGCTTTGCATTTTCCATCTGTCATGGACCACAGGGGCCAGAAAGGGCAGATACCCYAAGCCCATGCAGGACACAGGGCAACCTTGCAGGTTACTGGCCAAACTGGTGATGGGATTTTGCAGTGCTCCCAAAGGGGACTGGGAATGGGTGCTATCTGGAGAGGAATGCTGGTCTGCGAGGATGGCAGGAGTCACAGGGAAATGCAGGACGTGGTGTGCAGCAGCACAAGCATGGGGCATCCTCCAGCACAAAGGGTGCATCCTCCTTGCCCCTAAAGGAGGTTTTGAGGTTTCTCTGAGCAGTAAAGGTTTCTCTGGGAAGAGGGAAAKCCTAGCTCTGATACTATTTAGGCAGACTCTGAATGGGATAGGAAATTAACTCTTAGCAGAAAAGCTACCATTTATAAACCCAAAATCCTTCTAAAATACACTGTATTTATGGGACTTCCCRGACCATTTGATGCTCAGAGTGCTGTATGCCAGTTAAGCACAGGAACCATTTTTCCAAAAATATATGTTTAGCTCTGAAACAGCTCAGCTGTCACAAGGATTGTGTGTAAAAGGTAGACTGCACTTTTCCCAGGCAAATGGCAAGAAGCAGCCACCTCCCTTGCTCCTCTTCTGTACAGATTCCCCTCTCCAGTTCCCTCAACCCTGTCCTTTCTCCTTTGGAAAAGCAGGGAACCAGCCTTCTTCAACCCAAAAYATCACCCCAATGCTTTCATTGGAAGGTGTCCCTCTCTCCAGGGAGCAGGAGTAGAAAAACAGCAGGTGAGTGTCTCTGGCCAAGCACACTACCATTTCCACTCCATTCCAATTAAAAAAAAAAAAAAAATCCATTAGCCTGAAAAAAAGCTGTATTTAGCATTGGTAAAAAGAACAGTCAATTTGCCAGTGCTTTGAATGCAATGCTCCTTGGTCTTTCAAAAAAGATTTCTTTTACATAGCTGCTTACTTCAAACTTGAAAGTATATTTACTAATTCCTGTTTTATAATAGCTATCTGAAACAYGGCATCAAAATAAAACTCGAATATTGGACTGAAAGTCTGCAAAAAACATAAATAGCGTCATCTTTCTTTTATGAAAATAACTGGGTACTCTAGCTTCCCTGCTTTTGTTGAAAGTGAATCAAGTACTGGCTACATTTATGTCTAAGGTTACTGCTATTTTTGTGGCACACACTTACACCACTTTATTTTAGAGTGGAAGCTCTGAGCAGAGCAACATAGTGCAGTGAAGCATCTCTGTTCAACTCTCCACACTGCTTCTCTCCTGATGGTGGGAAAAACCTTTGGTTTCCTACCATAGCCAGCGGGGGTGGTTGTATCTGTCACATGTATATGCCAGAATCAGAATAGCAGGATGCTTATAGTATTTTTTTTTCTATTGTTTCCTTATTTTTCCCTCCTCTTATTGCTTACCTAGCTGTTTCTTATCTTTGCCCACCACATTGCATTCTTATTCCTTTTTCCTTATCTATCAGACATCAAATCAGTGCCAGGTCCCAAAGGGCCACCGCACACTGAATTTGCCAACTGCTTTCCCCCTTTGCAGAGGACTATCAGGGCTCTACTCTGGGCATAGGATGGGGCTCTCTGCTCTGCAGGTACCTGCTGTGGAGATCAGCTGTGGACCAACATCCAAATTCCCCCAGAAACAGCAACAACAGCTGTACTTTGAGCACACTTAAGACTCAAAATATATTTTAGCAGAAAATATTTCTAATCACTTTCCTTACAAGAATATTTTTTCTACCGATTATAATCCCTCTGCTGTTTTTATCATCCGAAAACACTCTTTTTCATTTGATCGTAAAGTATAAAAATACAAGGCTGCTAGTATTTAGTGGAATATTTTAATTAAAAAGAATTGTACGTATCATTTGTGTATAATCCTTATTAAATCAATTTTGTTGTTGTTGAGTTAGGCTTATGTAAAAGTTGGACTGCATTGATTGCATTTCTAAACTAACTATACAGGCAAGAAGTCCAGTTCAAAGTCAAATGGAAACTTTGGGCAGGATACTCAAGCAATTTAAATTTTCCTCAATTCTATCAAAACAGCTCGGCGACTTGGTCTATCAGCTTAGTTGAGGCATCACTTTCCATTCTGCAATATAGGCATTTTTTTTTCTCTTGATTACCACCATCAAATTTTGGGCTCGCTTGGTAGAAGTCACATGRTGCAAATCCCTGTGAACAACCAACAACACATGTCATTCCCACTCTGGCCTCATGTGTATGAAATGCAAGACCAAGTTGAACTAAATCCTTTCTTTTTTTGGAGCTCCCGGCACCTTGGAAACAGTGTCTTCTGGACCACATCACCGGAGCATTCTTGAAATCACTCAGCGGAGGAAGAGGAGCGCTCTTAGCGGTGCTCAGAGAGGTTCTGTAGGAGATGCACTGCTCTGTCAATGCTGGCGAGGGTCTTCCTTCCCCAGAGGTGACCAACTCAGCAGCTGGGCTTACTTGATGAAGATGCAAGACGTCAGCCCCACTGCACCTTGCTTACATGTTTCTGGGCTCTTCTGTGTGTTTCCATTTCTTCAGTGAGATCAAATAAACCTGCAAGGAGGGATCYTGGGTTACACCTTCACATCCGTGGCACTTGGTCAATGAGCCTGCACTCATCACTCCTTAGGTTGTCATCTTTGACTACCAATCAAATACAAGCTCTTTTCTCAGGAAAGGTGCAATTTCTCAGCTAAATGCATCTAACCAACTGCATACCCAAGCTAAGTGCTGRGGCCACAAGGGCAGAGGTTATCGTCTTCATTTGTAGCCACAAGTAGGTCTCCACATGCTGAAAACATAGGAACAAGGAGCAGTGGAGTTACAGGAAATCACAGCATAGGGCACCAGATGTCATTCAAACTAAGTCATAAAAAAATAATTCTGCTCTTGCTACAAATAAATAAATAAATAAATAAATGTATTTAAAACCCATCTCTTTTTTTTTTTTTTTACTCAATAATTTGAAAAAAAAATATTCTTAGTGCATGTGCGGCTACTCTCAATTTTGTAATACGATGGAAATTACAGTTTGACCTAGAGTTTTCATAGGCTTTGCAAGTCAAAGTATCAGAAATAGGATAGCAGAAATCAAGAAGTTATCAGGAAATAAATGGATATCCTGATTCTCTAGATTTCCCTAAGTTAGTAGGTTTAATCTAAAGAGTGTCATATTTTAGTGTCATATTTTATAGACAGTTTAATCATATTTCAGACCTAAATTATCATTATCCTGTTTAACAAAGAGAAAGTTACAGAAAAATCTGTTCTTTTCTTACAATTTCTATGTAATGTGTACTAATTTTTGATCAGCACTACAGATTACAAACTAACTAACTACTGATAGCCATTACCTATGTATATAGAATATGATAGCAAGAATTTTGCATGAGCTGTGCTGGAAGGGGAAAAAATATACGAATTGGTTAGCAAGGAWGGACCTCCCTCCGACCCAAATTCTTCAGTCTAGCTAGAATCAGATGCTGCATCTGTAATTACTTCTGCAACATCTGCAGTTAACTAACACACAAAAATGTCAATAAAACCAGTTAATCTAGGTCTAATGCTCACCTACATACACGTTTGAGTGTAAAAATATTGTGTGAGAAATACTAGACATATTAAAAGCATACCAAATTTCCATGCAGGATAACCCCCATTTCAAACAACACGCACTTTTTGAACATACCAGTCCTGGCAAAAGCTTTTGTGCAGAAGCCACGTCCTCACGTCACCTTTGCACTCATGGGTCAAGACCGCAGGTGAGATGCTGGGGTAGAAGGAACAAGCTGAAGGGTCTGGAGCAGACAGACACAGGGGGAAAAGGAGCTGGGGATGGGCTCAGACATGAGGGGGGTCCTGCAAAAGTAAAATACATCTCTAGTCGTGCTGCTGAGCCTGTTTTGTTTGCCTCCGCCGTTGAATAAAGGTGATACATGTGAAATGCAGGAATCCATGASAGCCACCACGCCAAGAGACTCCACACGTGCGTCCTGGCTGCTGCTTCCTTGCGTGCCTTGGGCTCGAAGAAGGATAACAACCCAAGAAATCCAACTAGATTAGGATCTCTCTGTGATTTCAGTTAAGAAAAACATYGGCATTATCAAGTGGACATTTATTAAGTAATGGGTGTAATTTATAAAATCACAATCTAGATGTCCCAGCCAACAGAAGACTCAAAATGTTGCTCTTTTAGTAAAAAACAAGAATGGCAGCGCCTTGCTTGAATCTTTTTTTTTTTTTGATTTTATCCTAGTGTAAACAGGCAGCCTCTGGGTTTCAAACACATATACTATACTCCCACTTTACATATGTACCATCCATATGTATTGTAAATGCCACAAAGCAAAGTCCTCCTTTGTGGTGACACTGGGACCCAGACAAGATGTCATTGCACATTAAAACTGTATTAAACTAATTGAAAAATAGTTGAACATTGCTAAGAAAACAAGATAAATATTAAACATTAAAAGACAGAGACTTTTCAGTGTTCCAAAAAACCACATCTTTCAGACAAATTAATTATTTGCATCATAAAAAATGCCAACGGCTAAAGAAAATGTTCCAGAGGAAAATTAGGAATAAAAAGCTTCAGGTGATTTTCAATTGCCTTAAAAACAATTTCCATTCTTCATAAAATACACAGCATACTATGTTATACTTACATAGTATAAGTTACTTTCCAAAAATTCCTTTTTTTTTCTTAATCTTTTAAGAAATGAGATGTTAATTAGGTAGGAAAGTATTTGGAATATATCTAGAAAAAAAAATAAAATGCAGCTATTCACCTGTAAGTTGCACAGCATCTGTCAAGAGCATTCACACACCTTCAGGAAGACACTCCAAATTAAGCAAACCTTATACTTGATTTCAGTGATCAGAGTTAATATTCTGAAGATCAGAACTGGCTGCCCTGTTTATTCCATAGTTTCAATTTCTATTGCTGTAATTTGTTTTGGAAAATAAATGGATGCATGGGGGCTCTCCTTCTGCGTAAGTAGTCGAATTTCATTTGTCAGGAGCTTCCTCTGCCTTGAATGAGAAACAATTCATTTCTTTGTAGCGATGGTGAATCTGAATCCTGCTGTAAGAGACTTAATGAGCAGCTATGTGATATCAAATAAATGGTAGCGGAGATGTGGCCACCTTGATGAAAACCTCAGGCCAGATGGAAGAAAAGCAAGATGCACTATACAAAATATTTCTTCATTTGAAGAGTAAAGTATTACTCAATGGCATTGTACATTGTTAATAAATTTTCTTTATCTGAAACTATAATTTAATATTTATGTATCTAATTTACATGTGACAAAGTAGCATATTCTAAAATTAGAGTGTAACCAGCAAACTATTGACTACTATAAACAATACCAAAGCACAACCCAAAAATATTTTAAGGAAACGATAGATACATTTTGGATTGGGAAAGAACTTCAATTGCAGATAATTATTTTAAATACAGCCATTAATTATGTCTTGAAAAACCTGTTCAAACTCAGAAAGATTTTCTGCTTAGGGAGTCTTGTRTATATACATTAAGACCAAGAGCACACTATCAAAATATCCCCTATTGGTTACTAGTAGGTACAGTAATAATAGTAAATGCTAAAAGTGAAAAAAAATAATTTTCAATAGAGATGTTATATGATGCACTGGACAATATTTCCTCTTTGAGCAGAAACTACAGAAAATATCGTGCCCTTTATTAACTCCATGGTTTCTTATGTGTAATAGACAGCAAAAGAATTGCACTTCTTGTAACATTACAGTAAAGTGTTAGGTTGCAGTTCACCTTTTAAAGTATTAGTGGCCATAATACTTAGGAGAGGTTGTGCATTATGAGGAATAAAGATGTGCATTTAAATAAAAAAACGAGCAACCACTTACAGAACCAACAGTGAGGCTTAACATAACAAACATGCACTAACCCTACGCTTATGCAAAACTAAGTTCTTCCAGGAAACTGTAACCAACTGTCGACCTTCCACAAAGGTAAAGGTTTTGTCCCTTGGTAATAAGTTTGGACTTGGTATTCGAATTCCAGTTTATTAGCTCATTGTCTCTAAATGTGCTGTTCCATTGTGATATCCTTTAGCTGCCCTTGAGCTTCTGCAGAATCTGCAATCTTACAGTCACTTTTATTTAAGGTTTTACTGAGCCGCAAAGTAAATCCCCTTCAGTACTACACAAATAGGCTTCCTTATTCATCCTCTTCAGGTTCCTGTGGTAGAATTGGTGTCTCCTCCTTTAAGCAAGCACTAAAAAACCCGAGGATTGTGCTGTAAAGGTGATATTTGCTTTTCTCGGAAGCAATGTTATGACCTTCATCTGGGTAGATCTAGCAGAGGCAAAAGGAAAAAAAAATAAACATTTCTTTAAAGGCTTTTCAAATATTTAGGGCTGTAATTTTCTTTTTATGATCTTCAAAATGGTAGATGATAACATTGGTTTTATGGCATCAAGAAGAGCTAACAGGACTCAATTCAGTCCCTTGGAATTCCAAACTTAAATAAAATGACAACTGCAGCAGGATCTACAGAAGCAAAAAAAAAAAAAAAAAAAAAAAAAAAAAAAAAAAAAAAAAAAAAAAAAAAAAAAAAAAAAAAAAAAAAAAAAAAAAAAAACCCACAACACATTCTCGGTCATGGTGCTTGCAAGCTTACTTAGCTGTGTTTTTTAGCAGGTTCCCACTAATTTCAAAGTGTTAAAGTGGCTCTTAAAATCCACCTAACAGCAAGTAAAATAGGATTAACCATCATTATAACTACAAACCGAGGTAATACTAGTGCAGGGCGGTAGGGAGGATCCTTTTCAGGGAAGGAATAACAGTATGAGATTCAATGTTGAACTATATTTACAGAAAATACCACAGTTGCACATACCTGCATAGTGTAATTAACTCCAGCTTTTATTAGATGTTTAATTAGCTCTGCTGAGTGCTGGAAGTGGACTTTCACTGCAAGGCAATGACATTTGATACTATCATAAAAAACCAAGCTAAAATGAAATATTTAGCTGTTAAACAAGGTTGACTTGGAACGTTTCTTTGCAAATACCAGATCTGTAGCTGATTGACTTCTTTTCTGGTCAGAACTGCACAGCCCAACCAATAACAGCAACACAGTATTAAGCAGCAGATGTTTCTGGAGACATGAGGTTTGAGATGAAAGCACCAGGTTATGTTTTTGAGGTTGTCCTTGCTTTTCATAGACTGCAGTGGTTTAGAGGTGTCTAAAACCATTTTCTTTGAGCACCATGACAGTTTAGAAGTATGTTAAAGGAATCAGCAAATCAGTTCTACGGTCAGCCAAGCTCGTGTTAAAACCACCAGCTCTGTGAAAGGGCTGCCCATCGTTCAGCTTCTGATGCCTTGGCTGTGAGTTGTAATCAGTTTTCTGGAAAGTTTAACTTCCCATTAGGTACTGGCCCCTCGGACTGTATCGCTAATTTTTTCTTCAATCGCAGAAGCTCTATAAATTTGAAATGCCATTAAAATTTTATATTGTCCTATTAATAATTGATATAACACCTTTCATGAGCAAGACAGTGGTCCAAAAGATTTAAAGAAATTCGAACATACAGCACCTAAAAGGTACAAATAATCAGCAAAGAAAAGCATCATCAGCTTGGTGTTAGAATCGGCAATTAAACCAGACAATCAAATCTTTCTGGATAGAAAATCTTAACCAGGGGGATAACAAAGCTAAAATCACTCTTGCAAGGTGTGTGCCTCATCTGTCCTTGAACATCTGTCTATTAAAACCTCTAGCGACAAATGTAGTTGCATCTGTAAATACTTACTATCAGCTGTGCCGTGAACTATTAGCAAATTTGCTTCTTTTAAACCATGAAGATTGTGTAACACGCTGGATGCCTAGTAAACAAACACAGACAACTGTGTAGTTGGATTGTATTTTAAAGCAAAACTATAACTTTTAATTACCTGTTTACACTAACTTACTTGATAGGTATTTTCCTCTTTTGAAGGAAGACCCAGGTATCTTTCTGAAAAGGCTGATGCTGTGTAAGTAAAAACAAAAAAAAACAAACAGATTTCACCCAAATTAATTCTATTTAAAAGGTGCTTGTGTCTGACTCAGAATCAGGAGAGGCTATTTAATCTGATCTCCAGTGTAGCACAGCCCACAGGATATGCCCAGAATGTCACATACAGAGGCAAATACCCTGTGACTGAATGAGGACATGATTGAGATCACGAGGAACCTTCCACTAACTTTAAAAGATTCATAGATATCCCTTCTTACCATATCCATTAAAAATCTTGACTCAGGCTGATACACTGAAAGAGTCTTAGGGAATGAGATGCCTGATTGAATTTCAGTGCGCAACGGGAAACACAACTCTTCTGACAAAAATCCTGGTGTTAAAAACAACGTATTTGTTATACGTTTTGGTGAACTGCCCCAGTGCCAGCTGTTGTCACCTTTTCATTTAAAGAGGAGAAGGAAATAGCAAGGTGAAAACTAATCGATATGGCTCCACCGCCTGCCCTTAGCTGAAACGAATAGCAGCCCCATGAATAAAAGATATTTTGAAATAAGCTGTCATGCAGGTGAAGGATAGGGGGTTCTCACCGTACAGCTTCATGTCTGTAATTGGTGCCACCACGGCCCCACATTTGAAAAGGCGCTCGCTGGACTTCAGGACCATTGAAGTAATGTAACCACCGTAGCCCTGTCAGTGGAAAAGGTACCGTGAGATTTGGGGTTACTCCTTTCTCTCTTCCTTCCTAACAATAATGAAATTAAACAGCATTTTGCTAATGCAATAGTTCTATTGTACAGCATTATGTAATTTATAGCATGCATTTACATACAACTACAACAATTGCTTTTAAAGGACTGCAAATATACAGGCAAGGCTCTTAGGAACACAGCCTAGATGGGAAGATTTGCACTCACTTTCAGATATATTAAACAAAGATATTTGCTAATTACTCGGACACCCTCAACACATTGCTGACKGGGAAGAGGGAGAGTATGGGAATGGGGGAAGACTGCCAAGTGATTGCGAAGTGTCTTCCCTCTGACTGTTGGACCTTTGCAGATTGAATCCTACTGTTATTAATGATTTTTTTTTTTTTTTTCTGCACCACTGTCAAACATCTCTCAGATGTTCAGAGATGTCTAGATCCTTCAGAATCTTGCAGGGAAAAAAAAAACCCCACATGTAGCCCTATTCCTCAATATTATGCTCATCTGTAGATGCAGTTTCTGAGCACCAGGCTCCTGTTCCAGCACAGGAGAATGGAAAGCAGGAAGGAGCTGGCAGACACAGAGACACCCAGTGTGAAAGGCCAGCTCCCTCCTTACCCCCTACTCTCTCTCACAGCCAATGGCTTCAATCAGCTCTTTGAATGTGCCTACAAAATGCCTCTGATTTGGGAAGGAGCACCACAAAAGCAAGTGTTTTACACGGGTTCCCGTTGAATGACACGGACAATCCATACGCGTACACCTATTTTTGTAACAGGCCCACCAAAAATAAAATTCTGAGTTGTGGAGTCTGGGATCAATGATTTTCTCATATATTGCAAGCTCTTTAAATTTCTCTATTTTCCATCTTTGCTCTTTCTACATTGGCTCTGGAAAAATGATTTTTTGCAGGTATTTGGGGGTTTTGTGTTGGTTTGTGTTTGGCACAAACACATTTCATCAAGAAGAAATTACTCCATGATGAGGAAAAAAACAAAACCGAAAAACCACAATCCATCTCTGCAAAACAGCAAATATTGTGTCAAATGCTCACACAGATTTGGACTTTTTTGTATCCTGCTTGCCCCATTCTTTGGGTCTAAGTATTTGCTCAACAGTTGACCTATCTGGAAGAGCAGGAACACCTAAAAACCTCTGGAGTTTACTGAAGCAAATAGGAATGTTCTTTGGAACCCACCTACAGTAAATGCAAACAGACATGCAAAAAAAAAAAAAAAAAAACACAAAAAATTGGATTTTCCACGGAGAACGAAGAACTAAACTATCCCCTTCCCATGGAAATTTCAGTATAAGAGACCAAGAATAGAAGAGAATTTTCCATGCACAGGAGCATATTCAACTTAAAAACAATTTCTGAGTGGGCACCAAAAACTTGTATAATTTAAAGAGTTTAAGAGAATAGCAACTTTCCTCTGCCTCTAGGTTTTCTGCTTTTCCTTTTATTTAATATTCTGTTTGTGTCTTTCCTG